GCTTAGGTCATGATCTCGCGGTTCGTGGGTTCGAGCCCCGCGTCGGGCTCTGTGCTGACTGCCAGCTCAGAGCCTGGAGCCTGTTTCAGTCTGTGATTCCCTCTCTCTCTGACCCTCCCCTGCTCACGCTATCTCTCTCTTTCTCTCCTAGAAATAAATAAAACATTTAAAAAAAAAAAATTGAAAGCGTCAGTACCACAAAAAACACAAAGTTAAAATTAAGACACAGACTTAAAAAAAAACCTTTGGAACTCATATGCAAATAAGCCCACAGACTATACAAATAACATTTCTCTACAAATAGGAAATGGTTAAAGACCAAGAAAGTGATAGAAGACTCAAACACAAATGGCTATTAAATATATGCAAATATATACAATCTCACTAATAATTTGAGAAAATGAAGTTAGAAAGAAAAATTATGTCTCAATCACTAAATTGACTAATTATGATTGATCGTATTATCTGCAATTAAGGCTGTGGGTAAATAGGAGCTCTCATATACTGATGGTGATACCATAAATCAGTGACCTCTTTTTGGAACACCAATCTTTCATTTTTACCAAAATATTAAATATCCATACCTTTTCCTTTGTAGTCTAAGATCAATCATTAAAGAAAAAAATCTAGCTTATGTAATAACCAATGACTATACAGGTATGTCCCATTCAGTATTATTGATAATAGTAAATAATCGATACCAATGTGAATGCTGATCCTCAGTGGATAAAGTATAATAAACCATCCTATGGAATAATGGGACAACTATATATAAAAATGATCCTATTTTTTGGTGGAAAATCCAGCCATGAGGCAACACATAAAACCACGTTGCATTATGTAAATATGTGGTATGTTCATTTACAACTGGGATTACCAGTTTGCACATCCTCACTTATTAGTATCTTTTTTAAAATTTTTTAAATGTTTTATTTATTTTTGAGAGAGAGAGCAAGGCAGCGTGAGCAGGGGAGGGCCAGAGAGGGAGGGAGACACAGAATCCAAAGCAGGCTCCACGCTCTGAGCTGTCAGCCCAGAGCCTGACATGGGGCTCGAACCCACGAACCATGAGATCGTGACCTGAGCCGAAGTCGGATGCTTAACCGACTGAGCCACCCAGGGGCCCCTATAACTACTTGTTAAGTGTTAGAAGAACCCCGAGCAAAATACAGATGAATTTGATTATATAAATAGAAAACTTTGCATGGCATAACATCCAATAAACAAAGTAAAAAAAATAAAGTACAAAATGGGAAAAATGTGTATCTTATATCATGAAATTATAAGTAATAAAAAAGTTCCTAAATATAGGGAAGAAAAGACTACTAACAATTCCACCAGAATGTGCTAGGAACATGAAGAAACAGTTCAGAGAAAAAGAACACAAATGGCTCTTACCATCACTCAAAAAAGAGAAATTCAAACAAAAAACAAACTGAGATACTACTTTAAAAAATTGGAAAGTTTCATAATAGACTATGTTCATGTGGTTGTGCAGAAGCAGGGTCTCTCAGACATTATCGCTCAGGAAGCATCGATCAGCCCCAAATGGAGGGGATTTGGGGACTCCCTAGCAAAACTGCATAGGCATTAACCCTTTGATTCAATCTTCTCAAAAATCTATCCTGGGGGCACCTGGGTGGCTCCAGTTGATAAGCATCTGACTCTTGATCTCGGCTCAGATTACAGTATCATGGCTCATGAGTTTGAGCCCCACATTAGGCTCTGCACTGACAGTATGGAGACTGCTCGGAATTCTCTCTCCCTCTCTCTCCGCACCTTCCCCACTCATGTGCTCTCTCTCTCTCTCTCTCTCTTTCAAAATAAATAAATTTTAAAAATGTATCCCCAAAACCGACTGCCAGAAATATGAAAAGATTTATATACATGATCATTTGTTGCAGTGTTGGGAAATCTAAAACATACTTCTAAACTCAAATGTCTACAAAAATCACAATAAAATTAGATGAAGCTTGATAATAAGTAACAAGGAAACTTCTACAAATTAAAAGCTGTGAGATATACCAAAAGCATTACCACAAGGCAAATTTACATCATTAATTATTTATATTAGAAAAGCCAACTTCTGGGGCACCTGGGTGGATCAGTCAGTCGGCTCAGGTCATGTTCTCATGGTTCATGAGTTCGAGCCTCGCATAGGGGTCTGTGCTGACAGTTCAAGGTCTGGAACCCGCTTCAGATTCTGTGTCTCCCTTTCTGTGTGCCCCTCCTCAGCTCATGATTTGTCTGTCTGTCTGTCTCTCTCAAAAATAAATAAACATTTAAAAAAAAATCCAACTTCAGTTAGAAACCATCATGAGCACTCCATGAAGGGGTGCACACAGATTGAGTCTTTCCACATATGCTAGCTTTTTTTAATCATAAAGCAAGGTTAACATAAATGCAAAGCAGGTTCAGGATTCCAAACTCAATGACATTTCACTGGCACTTAGCTTCACGCACAGCACCCAACACACAACACAAAGCACAAGACAAAGTCACACAACAAACAAGATACAACAAGGGGTAAGAAGCTGGCAAACCAGAGGTGCCTGGGTAGCTCAGTCGGTTAAGTGCTTGGGTTATGATCTCGTGGTCTGTGAGTTCAAGCCCCACATCAGGCTCTATGCTGACCGCTCAGAGCCTGGAACCTGCTTCAGATTCTATGTCTCCTTCTCTCTCTCTGGCCCTCCCCAGCTCATGCTCTGTCTCTTTCTCAAAATAATAAACACTAAAAAAAAAAAAAAAAAGAAAAGGAAGAAGTTGACGAACCAACACCAAATCAGTCTGTGACAGTGTGGTGGTGAGGAGGACTCAGTCTGGCCTGGGTCAGCTCTGGGCATTTCCCGCTTCTTCTGTTCAAGCAGTGGAGGGCCTCTGTTATATTCAGAGCTCCGTTAGGCAAAGACTTTGGCCCCATTTGCCTCATTTTCAAATGCCATCAGACATGGAAGGGTCAGTCTCTGGGGAGTCTGACCCTTGGCTGCAAAAGTCCTCCTGTTTTAAAAGAGTTGAATCAGTCTCGAGCCTTTGGAGGCCTCTTCTGGTTCCAGTGGTTATCGGATCTCCGCAGCCCAGGCCTTCTTGGCTTTGCTGGTTATTGGTTCTGAGTACCGGTAGCCTGCGCTGGTTTCCATGATGTCTGGTGTTACCTGCGGTACCCTTGGATGCCTGCATCACTGCTTGGCGGGAGTGACTCCATCTTGCTCTCTACGGAAACAATGACAGAATAAACTTCAATAACAGCAATGGATGGGTAACCCGAATGAGAACAGAATGTAATGAAAGGGAAAATAGGGACAAGAAGAAATAAAGCTAAAAGCCAACTTTTAGAAAGTTTAGAAAGAAAAAGATTTCTTAAAGGATTAAGCCTTTAGTGAGATTTGTCGAGGAAAAAAGAGATCACAAAAAATTATATCAAGAATTAAAAAGAAGACATCATTATAGGTACAGCAGAGATAGAAAAGACAACAAATGGATCTTATGAACAAATTTATGCCAATACATTTGAAAAATGTGTACCAAATGTACAAAGTCTTAGAAAAACATAAATTTCCAAAATGGATTCCTTTTTTAAAATAATGTGTATTTTTGAAAGACAGAGAGAGGGAGACAGGGCACAAGTGAGGGAGGGGCAGAGAGAGAGAGGGAGACATAGAATCTGAAGCAGGCTCCAGGCTTAGAGCTGTCAGCACAGAGCCCGACACAGGGCTCGAACTCACAGACTGTGAGTTCATGACCTGAGCTAAAGTCAGAGACTTAACCGACTGTTCCACCCAGGCACCCCCAAAACTGATTCTCAGAGAAATGCAAACTTTAAATCATTTTATACCTATTGAATAAATGTAATCATAGTTTGAAAGCTTTTTTCTGTCTCTGTTTCTGTCTCTCTGTCTCTCTCTCTCTCACACACACACACACACACCAGTCCCTATTGGTATTATTGGCTAAATACCAAAATTTCAATGGAGATGTCACTCCAATCTTATTGTAATATTTCCATGAAATGGTGAAAAGGGCTACTTTTCAATCCATTCTATGAGAACACTGTGACCTTAATGCCAAAATCAGACAAAAACTAAGAAGAAAGAACTATAGGCCAGTCTTGCTGTGGCTCACTGATAGAAAAAACCAACAGGAGGGGTGCCTGGGTGGCTCAGTCAGTTAAGTGTCCAGCTTCAGCTCAGGTCATCATCTCATGGTTCGTGGGTTCGAGCCCCGCATCAGGCTCTGTGCTGACAGCTAGCTCAGAGCCTGGAGCCAGTTTCAGATTCTGTGTCTCCCTTTCTCTCCGACCCTCCTCCTCCTCTCTCTCTCAAACATTTAAAAAATTTTAGCAGATTTTGTCAGAAGCTGAATTTAGTGACATGTGATGGGCATGGAGGAGGGCACTTGTTGGGATGAGCACTGGGTGTTGTATGGAAACCAACTTGACAATAAAGTATAAAAGAAAAAAAAAAGACACAAACCCAAGCCAAGCACACGGAGTCCCTACATGAATACCAAATGTGAGCCAGATGTTATTTTCTTCAGGACCATCATCAGCTTCTTCCTGTCTTTTCTGTATCTATATTGATTTATTCCTCTGAACTGTTCCTCACAGAGCCTATATGGGCGATACAGCTGTCCAGAGACCACAGGCAAGTACATGAGTGATGGGCAAATGTTTAAGGTTCTATAATGTGACCTCTTAAAAAGTCATGCTGGAATTTGATGATCAGTGCTAGTGAGGTCATATGCATGATAAAAACCCTGTCCACACTATTCCTCCCCCACCAAAGAAGATGTCCTAGCCTGCAGTCTCACCCCTCTCCTTATGAAAACTTTCCATTTTGCACAACTCCTTGGAACATCTCTATACTTGCTAGGTGGGAAGCTGCCGGATTTGTGGACTGCTTAATATAGTGAATTAGATCTTCAAATTTCCTTCATTGAATTTTGTTTTGTTTTTATTTTTTTAATTGAAGTATAGTTGACATACAATGTTGTGTTCGTTTCAGGTATATGGCATAATGATTCAGCAATTCCGTACATCACACAGTGCTCACCATGAATTCTGATTTTGAACATCGTCAATCAAGATGCCTACAGATTCAAGGTCTGTGGTCACATGAGCTTATGGAGAGGAGGATCTCAGGCTACTTTTCATAGTGTTCATGTACAGTGCAGCTGGTTTGAGATGAAGGACACCTCCCAGGACACACACTTTCTCCCAGCATGAGACAGAATCAGAGTAGGAGGCAGTGGGTGAAAGTCATTGCCAGTGAGAAGGGGTGGCCTTGACAAATACAATTTGGTCATGTTTCATGAGCCATGGTGTAGCTTCTGGAGCCATGTCATGAAAGTCCTGCTATATGAGAACTCTCTCAGAGAGCTAAGCCTTTTCCTTTAGTTCTGTGGGGGGAAAGATACAAGGTCCAGAACATTTGGCTCTACAGTGGGGGCAGGTGTTCATGTTGCTCTACTACCACTCCTAGAGGCAGAGACTTGATCTGCTTGCATCCTTGCAGAAATACTCTCCACTCTTAGCATACATCATTTTATAGAGTTTTGTTGCACACATCTTTCTAGAGTGACATTCCAATACCACTCAAACCTAAGAGTTTCTTTACGCCTCAATATAATGTGAGGCCCTTTATGCCAAGAGCATGCAGGCCTAAGGGGTTGCATCCATCCCTGGAATCAGGAAATATTCTAATCCAGAATCCATCTGTCATCTTACCTGCACAGAATTCTCTCAGAAATGCCAGGCTGGCAGTGTCTGGGTGGCTCAGTCAGTTAAGCATCCGACTTCAGCTCAGGTCATGATCTCATGGTTTGTGAGTTCGAGCTCCGCATCAGGCTCTGTGATGACAGTTTGGAGAGCTCTCTCTCAAAATAAATAAACTTAAAAAAAAAAAAAGAAACTTGAGCCTGGTGTGTGTGGTGGGGGGGTTAGTTGCCAACACATCCATAGCATTTAAATCAGAGCAGGTATTTTCCACTGTCTTCTTGGAATACAAAACTTTTTTATGTTTTATTTATTTTTGAGAGAGTGCTAGCGGGAAAGGGGCAGAGAGAGCTCTTTAGAGGGTCTGAAGTGGGCTCCTCCCTGACAGCAGTGAGCCCGACGTGGAGCTCAAACTCACAAATTATGAGATGATGACCTGAGCTGAAGTCGGACACTCAACTGGCTGAACCACCCACGTGCTCCCAGAACTCTTTAATATTTACTGCATAGGTGGGCTCAGGCAATGCAAAGAGCTCCCATTTATTATGGGCAGTTCAGCTTGGCAGAGTATGGGCTTGCCAGTGTTCATCTAAGAGCTGGAGGTTACAAGTTCCCCATTTATGAATCACGTGCATTTTATTTACACTTTTAGGTACACGTGATGAGACCGGTACATATCACTCCTACCTCCTTTCCTCCTTGGAGTTTTACTGTAACTTTTACTGTAACTTTTAACACAACATGGACATAAGCCCAAGTTTCACTTTTGGCCTCTTATTATCTTCTTCAGTATATTACATTGCAAAAGGTGAAATGAAATATTCACTTATATCAACGGGTTTTAAAATGGAGCTGGAGACCAGTAAGGAGATGAGCCTTATGCACATCCTTATTAGTAGGAGAACCATGAATGTCTGAACTGGGCCAAACTGCAAATATTTCAGGGACTCAACCCAAACACCTGCAACTTGCTATAGTAAGAGACCCCACTTAGTGATAGCTTTAGAAACCAATTATGTTCACCAAGTTTAGTTTCCTGCCACCAACACCAATCTTGGTAATCAGAATTCTTTGTAAATGATGTATACAAGGGTTCTCTTTTGTCTTTAAAAACCTTTTACTTTTATTCCCTGGATGGGGGTGGGGAGGGTAGAGATACTATTTTTTTAAATTAATTAATTAATTTATTTTTTCTTACAAATAGTTTATTGTCAAGTTGGTTTCCATATAACACCCAGTGCTTATCCCCACAAGTGCCCTCCTCCATGCCCATCTCCGCCCTCCCCCCCACATCCATCAGTCCTCAGTTTGTTTCTCACCATTCAAGAGTCTCTCATGGTTTGCCTCTCTCCCTTTCCCCCACCATTTCCCCACTTTTTCTCCCCCATGGTCCTCAGTTAAGTTCCTCCCAATCCTCCTATATGTGCAAACATGTGATATTTGTCCTTCTCTGCCTGACTTATTTTGCTCAGCATAACACCCTCAAGGTCCATCCATGTTGCTACACATGGCCAGATTTCCTTCTTTCTCATTGCCATGTAGTATTCCATGGTATAGATAAACCACATCTTCTTGATCCATTTGTCCGTTGATGGACACTTAGGCTCTTTCCATGTTTTAGCTATTGTGGAGAGTGCTGCTATGAACATTGGGGTACATGTGCTCCTATGCATCAGCACTCCTGTATCCCTTGGGTAAATTCCTAGCAGCGCTATTGCTGGCTCATAGGGGAGTTCTATTGTTAGTTTCCTGAGGAACCTCCACACTGTTTTCCAGAGGGGCTGCACCAGTTTGCATTCCCACCAACAGTGTAGGAGGGTGCCCGTTTCTCCACATCCTCGCCAGCACCTAGAGTTCTCTGATTTGCTCATTTGAGCCACTCTGACTGGTGTGAGGTGGTATAGAGATACTATTTTGGTTGCTGCCCATATCTGTGTTTCCCAAACTGCAATTCTGAGACCCCAAATAAATAATTTTTTTTTATTTCAGTTCTGCCTCTTTTCTCAGTTGACACAGTACATTGTGCGTTGCTAAGTAGTGATGTGCAAATGCTATCCTCACAGCTTCTAGGCCTCTTAAACTTTTCAAGTAACTTAATTTTGATACAATTTGAAACCTGTGGGGGTGGTTGGAGGGGGAATTCAAGCACAGCATTAAGCATCATGATATATTCATCAACTGAATTCATCAGTTGTTGACTGAGATTCATCAACGGTTAACATTTGCTGCATTAACTTTATATTCTCTGGCTCTCCCCCTCTTTTTACAACAAATTGCACACACTTATTGTATACATCTTGATGAATTTGCTCATATGCACTCACTTGTGATACCATCACTATAACCAAGATACTAAACATATTCATCACCTCCAGAAATGGACTTGTGTTCTCTCATGGTTATTTATTTATTTGGGTAGGGTAGGAAGATGTAGAATGAGATCTATCCTAGAAGCAGAGGAATGAGAACAAGGTGGGGGAGGGAAATGTGAATCAAGTGGAGAGGAAGTAATTGATGTGATTTTATGCAGGGTGGTGTAGACTACCATCCCTTTTACCCAGGTTTCTCCATTAATTTGCAGAGTCCTGCTAATTATTCCTCCTCTCATCTTTCCCTCTCTGTAATCATTTCTTCATTGTCTTTTCAAAGATTCTCAGCGCCTTCTTTTTGTCTTAATTAGGCTGCTTGGTGGTTTACCTGCTATCTTGATTTCTTAAAGAACCACCTCTTTATTTACTCTACATATTTTTTTCACCTTCCATTTTATCAGCCTCTTCCATTGGTTGGCTTTCATTTGATTTATTTTGCTGTGTGGTTGTGTTTTCTTATTACAGGTATAAATAAGTACACACAAGAATGTGTGTGTATAGATCCAGTATATTTACAAAATGTATATCCAAATTGCATTTAGTTATCTACTGCTTTTACCTGTGTATCCCCAGTTTTCCACCTTCTCTCCCACTGCCCTCCACTCCTTTCTCCTTTTTTTTTCCCCATCTTTCTTTTTTTCCCCCCAGAAAGAACACTGGCAGATTCCTACATGTCTTCAGGAAGGTAATGATAATCAGATCAACTCTGTGGCATTTGGGGTTGTTTATAAGAGTTTTAAGTCAGTCGGATTTCCCATTTGACTAATCATTAAATGTAATCGTTCATGCATCCATCTATTCTTTTTTTTTTTTAATGTTTTATTTATTTCTAGGAGAGAGAGAGAGACAGCGTGAGCAGGGGAGGGTCAGAGAGAGAGGGAGTCACAGACTGAAACAGGCTCCAGGCTCCCAGCTGGCAGTCAGCACAGAGCCCGACGTGGGNTTAATGTTTTATTTATTTCTAGGAGAGAGAGAGAGACAGCGTGAGCAGGGGAGGGTCAGAGAGAGAGGGAGTCACAGACTGAAACAGGCTCCAGGCTCCCAGCTGGCAGTCAGCACAGAGCCCGACGTGGGGCTCGAACCCACGAACCGCGAGATCATGACCTAAGCGAAAGTCGGACGCTTAATCGACTAAGCCACCCAGGCGCCCCTATTCTATCTTGACATATGAATTGAGTGCCTAGTCTTGGTCAGGTACTCTTATCTCTATTGGAGAAAGAACAGATCCTTCCCTTGAGGCCCTTCTATTCTATTGGTGAAAGATCAATCATAAGTAGTGATGTAGACTCTATGGTGCTTAGGAACAAATTCAGTACATGACCTGTAACACCAGTGGGCAGGATATGGTATAACTTTTCTGAAAGGTATGGAAGACTTATTGGAAAGAGTCCCAAGTGCCATGAAAATGTAGAGCCTTACTGAAAGATGCATTTCAGGTGTGCTTAATACTAAGAACCTGCTATCCCCAAGGACTGGGCTGGACTCAGGTCAGGACACCAAGTCCATAAGTGATGTCTGGGAACCTCATCCAATTCAGTATTCCAGAGTTTTCTCCTCTTCTTCTCCCTATACCCTCTCTCAGGTTACCCTCCACGAGATGAACCAGTATCTGAAATCAGAACACACAATAGACATGGCCCACACCCAGAAGGCACCTGAGCCAGTTTCTAGGGCACTCTTATACAGCAACCTGGACACCCCCAAACATCTTCCTTGGAATCACTTATGAGCACAAGGATTTTCCAGGAAAATCTTAGCGAAGATTCTGCAACTCAGAAGAACTAAATCGATGTCTGAATTCAATCCAACCTCAAAGTGACTGGACAACAGCATTTATTATATTCTGGAACTTAATGCAAGGACTCTAAAACTCATTTGAAAGAACAGCCAGGGATTTTCAAGTGCTTAGCCAATTTAGGCTTTTCCAGTCTTTAGAATACTTTCAAGACACGACAAACAAAACATCATGTTACCGGTACACCAGACAAAGCAGAACTGAGTTTGGAATCAGAGCCAAAGGAGCACACAGGTTTCTACAGAATTATGATGGGACTTTAAAGCAGTGGGCAAGGTTAGGATTATTCTAGAAATGGTGTCAGATAACTCTCTCTTGATTAAAACAACTGTCCAGTAGAAACTAATATAATGCTGTTATGGTAACTGGACTTAAAATCAAAAATTTTTTAAATGAAATGGGTACCTAGTGTGTGCATCAAGGATTTTTTTTTAATGTTTTATTTATTTCTAGGCGAGAGAGAGAGAGACAGCGTGAGCAGGGGAGGGTCAGAGAGGGAGGGAGTCACAGATTGAAATAGGCTCCAGGCTCTGAGCTGGCAGTCAGCACAGAGCCCGACGCGGGGCTCGAACCCACGAACCCTGAGATCATGACCTAAGCGAAAGTCAGACACTTAACCGACTAAGCCACCCAGGCGCCCCGTGCATCAAGGATTTAAATGCAAGACAATGCAATTATAAAAATAAAAGAATTAATGATTTGAAAAAAATTTTAAGTGGCAAAGTCAAAGAATGAGAGAAACTTGAAAGCAATAGACAAAAAATCTGATTCAAAAATAAAATTAAAAAAAATTACTCCCCAATACTTAAAGGCTTAAAAATCACTGCAAACCCCCTTGTAGGGATGTAGGCCAAGGAGATGATGATGGAGGGGCCTAGATTGGAATCCAAGGATAGTCACAGTGGTTACAATTTAGTTTTATTGGGAGCAGTAGGGAATTGGTTAAAATATTAAGAGGTAAGAGCGTACGTTTCTGGAGCTCCAAGTGCACCTCGTTTGGTTAAGTCACCTGGCAGGTTAATCGGGGGATGGTTGGTGGGTGAGGTAAGGTGGGGCTAGACAGCAGGCAGAACCATCCACGCCCATCCCACTGAGACTCAGAGCACCTTGGAAACGGCCAGGTGCACTTTAAGGTCGGCCTCATTTGGGCCAGAATGAAGGCGGTGCCGGAAGGGGCTGGGTCGGCAGGGTTGAAATAGAAATGAGGGTGGGTGCTGGCCGGTATCAGCCTTGCCGACTGTGGGAGCGACCCGAAAGACGGCCAGGCTAGTCCTTCCACTCGGTGACCGCCGCGAGGAACAGGGTCCCGGGAAAGGCTAACCCTTTCGTAGAGGAGCTTTGACCCTCTGACCCCGCAGACTTCAGCGCTCAGGTGCTGCGGAGGAGCCGGAGGAGAGAAACCCCAGGCTACCGGGCATGAAAGAAGGCAGCTAAGACCCCACAGATCAGCCTAACTCTCGAGGAGGAAGGAAAGAAGGTGAATTGTGTGAGCGCAGGTGGAGTGGGAGGGGCGTTCGGGTGGTGGTAGCCCTGGGCATGTGTGCCTGTGTGTGTTGTGTCTGTGTGTGTGTGTGTGTGTGTGTGTGTGTGGTGCCATGGGGATACCCCGTAGGTGTGAACTCCGTGCGCACCTGACTCCCACAAGCAAGCAGGGCGACCCACAGTGACCTGTCACTTTGTGTGGGAGAAAAGAATCCTAATCCTTTTCTGCAAATTTCTGAGAATATCTTTTACCAGGATCCCTTTTACCATGGACCCTTCTCCGACAACTTAGCAGTTACCGGTCTTTTGGGTGTGATTGGAAAGCGCGTGTAGATAGTAACCGCATGTCTTCGTCCAAGTCCTCGTTGGTAGAAGGTTACCGGGCAACTACGTAGAGAAATCTAACATCGCCGTGCCCTCTTCCAGGGTCTGTCCCCTTCAGGGGCCTCCCCTCCAGGACAGCAATGTCAGGTCGGGCCAGGACCCGAGCCCGAGGCAGAGCGCGGGGTCGGGCGCCCTCCCAACCAGCGCCGCCGGGAGCCGCCGCGCCTCCGCCGCCGCCGGGAGCCGCCGCGCCTCCGCCGCCGCCGGGAGCCGCCGCGCCTCCGCCGCCGCCGGGAGCCGCCGCGCCTCCGCCGCCGCCGGGAGCCGCCGCGCCTCCGCCGCCGCCGGGAGCCGCCGCGCCTCCGCCGCCGCCGGGAGCCGCCGCGCCTCCGCCGCCGCCGGGAGCCGCCGCGCCTCCGCCGCCGCCGGGAGCCGCCGCAGTGAGCCCAGCCCTGTTCCGTCTCCTTTGTGCAAAAGATGCTTTATCTTCCTCTACTGCTTCCCTACCTGTTTTCGCACATGCAAATGCACTTACTTTCAACCCGGGTGGATGGAAAGGTTTCTAGAGATCTTGGCCCTAGCCAATGACCCCTCTTTGAAAGTGACTTCAAAACAGGCAACTAACACCCCGCAGACGTCTATGAGCTCCTGATTCGCCCCCCACCCCCAGACGTGTCTGGCTTGCTTCTTTTGAAGAAGCCCCCTTCTGCCAGTGGCTCAGACTAAAGCCTTTAGATCTGCCCTAGACTCTTCTCTTTACCCCAAACCCTTCCCTCATACCAACAACCAGGAAACGCGGTCATCTCCCAGTTTTCAAAAAAGTATCCAGTATCTGACAATCCAGTCACCACCTCTGTTACTACCCTCTGGTCCGAGGCGCCAGCGTCCCTTCTGTACAGGGCAAGTGGTCTCCGAACTGATCTTTCCTTCTGCCTGTTTCCCAGCACAGAACCAGATAAATCTGCCCAGTGCCACATAAAGGTTTCCATTTGCTCCGTCAGAGGCCCATTCTTTAAGATGGGCTCCCTCCTGGGACACACCAGTGGCTCAGTTGGTTAAGCCTCCAATTTCAGCTCCGGTCATGATCTCACGGTTTGTAGGTTTGAGCCCCAAGTCCACTCTGGATCCTCTGTCTGCCTCTCTCTCTGCCCCTCCCCTGCTTGTGTTCTCTGTCTCTCTCTTTCTTTGTCTCTCTCTTTCTTTGTCTCTCTCTGTCTCTCTCTGTCTCTTCCCTGTCTCTTCCCTGTCTCTTCCCTGTCTCTTCCCTGTCTCTCTCTGTCTCTCTCTGTCTCTCTCTGTCTCTCTCTGTCTCTTCCCTGTCTCTCTCTGTCTCTCTCTGTCTCTCTCTGTCTCTCTCTGTCTCTCTCTGTCTCTCTCTGTCTCTCTCTGTCTCTCTCTGTCTCTTCCCTGTCTCTCTCTGTCTCTTCCCTGTCTCTTCCCTGTCTCTCTCTGTCTCTTCCCTGTCTCTCTCTGTCTCTTCCCTGTCTCTCTCTGTCTCTTCCCTGTCTCTCTCTGTCTCTGTCTGTCTCTCAAAAATAAATAAACATTAACAAAAATGGTCTCTCTCCTATGACCTCTCTGACTTCTGCTTCTCTACCTCATGCTCCCCTTGCTTCAGCCACATCAGCCACCTTGTTCTTTTGAACGTTTCTACCTTAGAAAATTTGCTCTTTCCTCTACCTATGGCTTGTATGACCTTGTAACTTACTCTCCTCTTTCAAGTCTTTGATTCGGTGACAGTGTCTCACTGAGGCTCTACTTTGTCCCCCATTAATTCAACTAGCCCCTCATACCCCCCTTCCAGTAACAGCCAGTTTTCTGTACTTTGCTTTGTTCTACATTTCATTTCCTTAGCAATTAACACACTAACCTATAGAAATCATTACTTTTATTTTCTGTCACTGACATATGAGCCTTTACAAGGGAACATGCTTCATGCCCTGATAGTGCCTGGCACGTGGCAGGCAAACCATTTTTGGACAATGAACACTGTTACTATTACTTTTTATTCCTATCTCCTAAAACATGCAGACCCAGCAAACTGGTCAAATTCAGCCTAGCCTCCAGCCGCTGCAAGCAGGAAGTCCAGGGGTCAAGCCTGCACGACGAAGAAGACCAAAAAGAACAACTCAGCCTTCAGGTAAAAAGAGAGAGGAGTGTCTAAAAATGAGGGTGCACCACCGTGATAAAACTCTAGGCAGAGAGCCTCAGTATGCTCATGAGGTTTGGCGGGAGGCGAAGAGTGTACAGCTTGCAACTATTTTCATTTCTGCAATGAATTATCTGTCATTTCTTTTCCATAAACCTCTATTTTAAGGTTTATGGAAAAGAAATGGAGACTATTATCAGACTAGCCAATTGTTCAAACTAAATGCTTTTCAGATTTAGACAGTGCATTTGTATACAATAACTCCAAGTTAACTAAGAAATCTAGAATCCTTACTGTAAATCACCGTATGGAATGGTTCAGCAGCTCCTTGGGCATCTCAGCATTTACCTGCATTGTAGTATTTTCACAGGTGAAAGGTTATTATACCAGTGAGCATGTAGCCTAATATTGATTGCCAAGGATTTGGCTAATATACCTTAAATCTGATTCTCTGCTTTGCTGCTATTTAAGTTTTAAATTTTAATTATGGGGAGAATAATTAACAGGAGATCTACCCTGTAACCTATTTTTAAGTGTACAATACAGTACTGTTAACTGTAGGCATAATGTTATATGGCAGATATCTAGAACTTGCACAAGGGAAATTTTCCACCTGATGAGCAACTCCCCATCCCTTCCCCCCCCCCCCCCCCCCCCCCCCCCCCCCCCCCCCCCGCCAAACTGCACCCTTCTACTCTCTGCTTCTGTGACTTTGACTATTTTAGGTGTCTCCTACTAGTGGAATTATGCAGAATCTGTCCCTCTAGGACTGGCTTATTTCACTTAGCATGATGTCCTCAAGATTACGTCTCCTTTTGCAGGATTTCCTTAGCTTTTAAGGCTGAATAATATTCCATTGCGTGCATATACCATATTAACTTTATCCATTCATTCATTGATGGGCATTTAGGTTGTTTCCAGGGCTTGGTTATTTTTAATAGGGCTGCATCAAACATAGCTCTTCAAGATGCTAATTTCAATTCTTTGAAAGAACCCTCCAGAAGTGGGATTGCTAGATTGGTGGTTCTACTTTTCAGTGTTTGGGGAATCTCCATACTGTTTCCCATAGCAGCTGTACCATTTTGTATTCTACGAGGGTTCAGATTTCTCCACATCTTCACTAACACTTGCTGTCTTTTTTTGGTGGGGAGGAGAGGATGTCGTGTGTGTGTGTGTGTGTGTGTGTGTGTGTGTGTGTGTGTGTGTGTAATAGCCATACTTACAGATGGGAAGTGGTAGCTCATTGTGTTTTTGATTTGCACTTCTCTGAGTGACCTTGAATATCTTTTCATATGTCTGTTTGCCATTTATATGTCACCTTTGGAGAGATGTCCATTCAAGTCCTTTCCCCATTAAAAAATTGGGTTATTGGGCTTTTTGGCTATTGAGTTGCAGGAGTTCCTTATA